TAGTTAGTACTTGGATGGGTGACCGCTTGGGAACACTACGTGCCGTTGGCATTTTTTTGCTTTTTTTTCTCAATTTTTCCAACTATTCTCACTCTTTTCATTAACATATTTATTATTTAACATTACAATTTATTGTACCACTACGAATTCATTTTTAAATTAGCTTCTATAAAATCATAAGGACTCTACGCACTAAGGGACAAGCATTGTTATTAACGTTATTTAATCTTATATCCTAGTCCGTGGTTTATACAGGGTCTAGCAGATAAACCTTCAGTATGTAGTCATGTGTCTGTGAGTTATGACAGTGATTAATGATTCAACCATGATATTCGGTATMGAATATCGATCGATGATGGTGTACGAGCCATTTTTAGTAGGTAGTAAGTTGTAAGTACTAGGTGTAAATTGTTGAATTTCGTGTGTTTGTGTTAGGACTGCAGTATTATTTTTGAAGAAAATGGGCTAAAAGTGATGGTTAATTCGGATCACTATACTATGTCTGTCACACGATGGAGATCTTTTTCCCACCTAACCTAAAYCAGTTTTCTATAGGAACGATTAAGATGGAGAGCTCTTGTTACCTCCTTTTATTTAATGGATAAGTGCATACTATTTTTAATTTAATTTAAAAATAATTTTTACTGTAATTTTGTTAATTTGAAACTGCTTTTAGAGATACGGGTGGTTATTATAACCGGAGTTGACGGACCTGACACCTGTACATAAAAAACTGATGAAAGATGATAAACCATTTTGATAAATAATGAGWAGGTAAACCGACAGAGTCAATTTATTATTTTATATATTATATGATTGCAATGTAGTGATGTATAAATAATATACATTTAACATTAGTGACAAATAGCCAAGAGCCGACGTGACTCGTAAAAACAACTTAATTTTATCACCATTTCATATTATATATCAATGCGCATCTTCAGCCTTGCAAAAACAGCATAATTTTATTACCACTTCGGATTTATTACAATTCGTAGAAATATTTGATAACTAATAAAAAAGCTACGAATAGGAACCGCCTTCAACTACATTTGGTAATAACAACAACCCCGTCGGTACCTTTTGATCCACCTCCTAGTCTCTTATTAGTTACTTGTAACACTTAAGCCAGGGGCATATTTAGATATTTTTTAGGGGGAGGGCTGTGGTATTTTCTCCAACTGAAATTCCCAATTCAGCCTATATGAGTTAGAAAATTTACATCTGATAGGACATAATAAGCAGACTTCATAAAAAATTCCTGGATTTCGGGGGGGCTGAAGCCCCCTTAGCCACTCCCATAAATACGCCCCTGACTTAAACCACCAAGATTCTGCATAAATACAAGACTTCGTCCATACCAAAATCAGAATTAGTTAAATCTCCCACACATGTAGAACTTATCTGGTCGTAGAGCCCGTGCACTCCACATAGCCGCCAGACTAAGTTTCTCCCATTGTTTTAGTGAATAGATTACTAACTTTTCGGGCAGATACTTTTCGTCCTGTCATCAAATTTATATCATTTTATTTTGACATTACCTAATAAACATTTAATAATAACGTTATGTCGTTTTACTCTGCAACCTTCTCCTTTGAAAAACCTGATCGTCGTCCAACGTCGTAGAACTCAAAATATAGACGTTGCTGCGTTAGTGAGGGATCACTATTCAGTATTCACTACAATAATAAAGACATGACTTACGTAYAGACATTACGCACAGATATATAAAATAAAAACTAGATTGTTAACTGTTATACGACGTAAAGTAACCATCCGCCATAAAAAGGAAAAAAAATAAAGAGGTCAATGGCCAATGGGTCTCATCACAAGTATTTAAATATTGATAATAGGTGACTAAAGCAGGCTGACAAAGACTATTTTATAATATGTAACTTTTCAATATGATATATTATATTAATTATTTATGCATTTACATTTCAGTATAATAAATTACACAATTCTTGTAATAGTTTTTATTGTTTTATTAATAATTATTATTATGTTAAAGTGTTAAACTATTTGGTTAGACGTTAAATTATGGTTATAATTTTTTATAATTTTAGATTTTAGAAATTATTATTATTATTATTCAATTCTGTGATATGGTAATTATTTTATAATAATAATAAAAAAAAAATATTTTTACGTTATCTTATAAACACAAGTGATAACGAACATTAGCCTCGTTTAACATGGCGGCCAATGGCTTCAACCAATTAAACAGACGCTATGTTATTGTTAGCAATCTATAGTTTATTCTATATGAGTGATTACATGAAATCATATTATACAGGTTAACAATATTTTCAACGTGAATGTCAAACAAAACAATTTGTGATATCTTTGTCGACACTGTTACGAGTGATTATAATTACAGGATTATCACTCGAACTTTACTGTTAATACCTATTATTGTTCATAAAAAATATATTTTCTTTTCTTTTGTTACTATTTTGCTATACATTAACAATTAATTATTAGCCACTTTAATTTGGAATGTTTATCAAAATGTCGTTTGATATCAGTATAAATTCTTAATTCGGACGGTGATTAATAAAAAAAATGTCTACACGAGAGTTAAAAATATCGGACAGTTACATTTTTTCGCCAATTTTACGTTGCAAAATATATCATTAATTTATAGTCCAATATTATTTCGAAATGGTAAGCGACCTTTGTAACTAATAATAAATTAAGTTGTTCTTGCAAGACCATTTTAAACTAATTTTAAATTATCTTTATTTTCATTTCTATTCCTATTTATTTAAATTTTTGTGATAGCCCATTTTTATTTATTTGTATATACATGATATATAATCTAATTATTATCTTATTTTAATTTATTTGATTTTCAGAACAAATTAAAATCATCTCAAAAAGATAAAGTGAAAAAGTTCATGACATTCACTCAGACATCTGAAAGTGTTGCAATTTTTTGTTTAGCCAAAAATGACTGGAAATTAGAACAAGCGTCCGATAACTTTTTTCAAAATCCACATGAATATGAAACTGTGAAAATCAACACCCAATTAAGTTTTGTTGTTGATAAAAGAAAGCTGGAGGCCTTGTATGCTAGATATCGTGGTAAAATTTTATAGCATTAATTATATTTCAAACTATAGACATTATTCTCAAATCGTAAGAACTTTATTTTAGTTATTCTAGTTAGACAGTTTTGTTTAATAAACCTTAAATATTATTTTTTCTATTAATTACTATCATTACTTTACTAATAATTTTTGTTTACAAATAGGTACTTGAGTACAATAAAATAAATTTTAC